CCAATCCCCCACACATCCTACCTCCTGCAGCTTGACTTCCTCGGGTGGCAGGATCTCCAGCACCCCGCTGCTCCGGATCTCGGGGAGGTCCTGCCAGAGGTTGAACCTGGAGTGGGGGTTGCTGAGCAGGCAGATCTGGGGCAGAGCCTTCCTCTCGGGAGGGCTGGCCAGCTCCTCCTCTTCTTCCTCCTCCTCCTCCTCTTCCTCATCGTCCTCCTCGGGGGCTTCCTCGCTGGCTGGAGACCCGTCATCACCCGCCTGGATTTCAGCATCCTGCTGCCTTCTGATCTCAATTTCTTGGAGAGTTGATTTGTCTCGGTACTCCTGATACAGGAGCCCTGAAACCACACGGGGTTGTAATAAAGGGAAGAAAAGGGTTTTGGTGCAAATTGTTCTGAGCCGCTTAGTCAAGGCACCCATATCTTTCCCACTGCCACGAGTCCCTGCCAACTCACAGCGACCCTGGAGGGCAGGGTAGACTGGAGTAGAAAGCCCTGATTTTCTCCCAGGGAATGGCTAGTGGTTTCGAACTGCCGACCTTGCAGTTAGCAGCCCAACACGTGTGTAACACTGGCCACCAGGGCTATATTTTTGCTGAAGGCAAGTGCCCTGTCTGGGATTACACAAGATAGGCTGGGCCCACGTGGGTCTCAGCAAAGCTTTCCCACCCTGAGGGAGCCAGGCCCAGGTAGCAAGAGCAATGAAACCTAGAGAAACCCCAAGCACCTTCAAAATCCAGCCTCCCCGACTGCTGCTATCCCCACACATCTACCTGGCAAGCAACAAGCGCCTGTCAATCGCTGATGTGTGTGAGTTGATGGAAACATCCCAACTGTGCCTTGCTCATTGCCCACAGCTTGAGCGATGGGATAGAGGCTCACAGACTCCCGTCTAACTCGTCTTCCACTGCCGGATGGGAGTGGAGTCACACGTCCCTAACGCCCCTGAGACATCCTGCAGAATAGGATGGTGTGTGAACTGCGCTGAACAAACTGATGGTGTCTGGACCACAAACGGGTTCTGTGCCTAAATCTGCCTTTAAGTCAAATTAGGATTTAAGTAGGATCAGCTTGGTACAATTTGTATCTAATGGCCAGTTAGTGAGACGCTGGTGGAGTCGTGGTGACATGCCGGGCTGCGGTCCGAACGGCCGGCAGTTCAAAACCACAGCAACTCCTCAGGAGAAAGACTGGGCTTTCTCCTCCCATCAGCAGTTAGTCTCAGAAACCCGCCGGGGTCACTGTGAGTCAGCACTGACTCCAGGCAGGGAGCTCGGTTTTGCTTCTTGGTCTTGGTGTATGTAGGATGCAGCGTACAGGAAGCACTAGGGAACACTTTGAGAAACAATACAACAGCAGTACTAAGCATGTGTTTGCAGCACAGCACCGTCGAACACACAACATTGTTGTGTGTTCTTTAATACTCCCTCCCCCCACTATCATGACCCCCGTTTTACAGTCCTGCTAGACTAGTATGTACATTGGTACCGGTAAGAGCTGGCTTCGACACACGGAAGCCAGGACAGAAACAGTAATGGGAATAGCAAAACCAGGGGGGAGGCTGGAGGGGAGGAGAAAGAGGGGGAACTGATAGCAATGACAGATGTATAACTTCCCCCACCCACCAGGGGGAGGAATAACAAAAGTGGGTGAAGGGATACAGTGGATGTTGTAAGATATGAAATAATAATATATCATTTATCAAGGATTCATGAGGGTGGGAGAGTGAGAGAGGGGGAAAAAAGGAGCTGCTAATAAAGGGCTCACAGAAAGATAATGTTTTGAAAATGACGATGGCAACCTATGGACAAGTTTGCTTGATATAATTGATTGATGGATTGTTATACTTACCTGCAAGAGCCCCCAATAAAATGGTTTAAAAATCACCATCATCATCACCCTCATGTCTTGATGGGTGCCAAGAAGCCAGGCCTGTTTGTTGTTATGAACTACTGTTCTTACCTGGAATGCTGGATGTGCCAGGACTCGGGACCATGGACCCCTTTGGGGTCGGAGGTTGCCTGAGTGGGCTTCATGCACGACGGTCGGTGTCAAATCTCATTTTGAAGGAAAAGCCCACAGTTTGTGCTCAGCTCATCAACTTTAAGACGTAAAAGGGAAATACTCCTTATTTTCACAGCCCCCCGGCTGTTCGTACTTGGAATCAACACATCGTGGCTCTCCAAGATCAGACACAGAGCCCAAACCAAAGCTCGCTCTGACCATGGTCACCAGCGAGGTCAGAGTGAAACTGCCCCCTGGGCTTTCTGCGAGCAGAGGGCTGCATTTTTCTCTTGAGGAGTGGCTGCTGGGTTTGAACTGCAGTTCCTGCTGTTAGCCGCTCACACGAAAAACCCACTGAGCCACCAGGGCTTAGATGGCTCCTGCTCGCATCGAGAGCCCCCACTGGGACACACGCCTTGGGGCTCCTGGCTTTGGGGAGAGGGATGGTATCCTCACATACAGGGACCCGTGGCCTTGCTGTGAGAACCCAGTGGCCCAGGGCAGGGAGCACAGCTGGGTGAGGGTGTGTGTATGTGAGGGGGAAGGGTGGTCTCTGGGCACCAAGCCTGCAAGGAGAGGAGGCAGAGACCAAAAGGCCTTGTCTCTGGGCCACAGAGCTGGTGGGCATGGATGCTGGGGTTACGATGAGGAGAATCAAGGACAAGTGAGTGAGGTGGGGGCAGACGCACACCCCAGAAAGAGGTTGCCATGGAGGAGCAAGGCTGGGGGGCTGGAGGGGAATGGCCTCAGTTGGCAGGCAGAGCCAAGTCATGGAATCGGGCCTCGGTGGTCCAGTGGTCGCGGGGAGCCCGGGTTTGGTCCCAGCACCGTCCCTCACTGCAGGTCTGGTCTGGCTGTGGTTTCGGGGGGCCTGCCAGACAAGGCCTGGAGATCTACGTGTGAAAACCAGCCAATGAATGCCCTTGGGGTCACAATGGTCCTGTGTGCAACTGTGATCGTGGGTATGGTGCAGGCCGGGCAGCGTGTCACCCCACGGTGCGGTTGGGGCTGCCTCAGTAGGTGGGAACAAGCACTCCCACTCCAGGTCCTAAATAATATGCCGAGTGCCTGGCCTCACCCCTTCCTCAAAAAACCCCCCCTATGAAACTCACTACCGTTGAGTGACATGGAAGACGGGGTAGAACTGTCCCTGAGTCTTTATGGGAGCAGACAGCCTCATCTTTCTCCTGAGGGGCAGCTGGTGGTTTCGAACTACTACCCTTGCTGTTAGCAGCCCAAGGAGAAACCCACCACACCACCAGGGCTGCCTCTGCCAGGATGTTGCTAATCACTTAAGACAAATGCACTACTGGCAAAGACCTTACCAGACCGACAACATGCCGAGTATTTTTCTTTCTCCAGTTAGCTGTGAATTCTGCCCCAAGAGAAGACTGGAAAAGAAGACTGGAGAATGAATCTGCTCATAAGCGGGAGCCTCGCCAATTGGCGGGTGTGGATTAAGTCACTTGGTTTCCATCACTCCAAATGATACAGCCCTCCTGCTGAGGGGTTAACGCTGGATCTTTTCCGCAGCGAGTGCAACAGGGAGCTCATTTACTGCAGCAATAAAAAACAAACCCCAGGGCCATGATAGGACGGAGCTCTAAGAAGACAGAGGCCTAACCCCACTGCCTGATCTTTGAGCTTAGATGCCAACTGCTGCCAGCCTCGTGCGTGCGGGATACCCTCTTGGGAGTCTGGCACCGCATGGACGGAGGCTGGGAGGAGCCAGGCACCCACGATGGACCGGGTGTATCTTCTAGTGCTGCGTGTCTGTCTCTCACATCGTGGGTGCTAAATGTCTGCGGGAGCCTGCGCCTTTGAGAAACACCATTTCCAAGGTTCCCACAAGTAGTCTCACTGGGTCTCTTTCATTTGGAGGGTCCTCAAATATGCCCTCCGTATGCTGCAGCCGGCCAATCCCAGGCAACTAGCATCCTGAGTCTTTCGGTGTGATGTGATTGTGTGTGTCGCAAAGGGGATAAAAATACCAGGGATGTGGGCAGCTGGGTTGAAGAGAATATTTCTGAAGGCTCATTCTCGTGGCACACGTCAGGGGCTGCCAACTCCCAGTCCCTCAAACTCCCTCTCCTCAGCTGGTGGCTGGGGTTCTGTTTGGGTGTTGGCCCACCCCGAGTGATGGAAACCTTCCATCGGGCCCTTCCCCTGTCCATCGGGAGTGGGTTAGACCCACGCTGGCCACGAGCAGTCAGGAGATGACTTCCAAGAGCTTTCTCAACAAGCGCCTCCCCCGAGGGACAGGAAGGGAAATGGTCCTTCCAGCTTTGACACCTGCATGCCGGAGGGCGTGAGGGCTGTGCCGTTCAGCCCCTGTGACAAGAGGCCCAGGGTCACTCCGTGCAGGAACCGGATCGGAACACTGCTACCTCTGGGCTCACGAACCGGAACAGCATGCGTCCATGTCCAGAGCCCTGATGCCCAAAGTGAGTGATCCTGCCCCCAGGGGGGGCGTTTGAACAATCCAGCCCCAAAGCTGACACAGCTGTGTCCTGTATTGTGGGCCACTGCACTAAACGTTTATAACTGCTGGGGGGCTGCTCAGTCATTTCGCCCCGGAGAGCAGGTGGTAGGTCAAATAACTCTGGGAACCTGTGGGTGAGAGTCTCTTGTCGCATATCCTGTCCTTTAAGGAGTGCTGGCAGTGCTGTAGGAGCCCCGGTGGACAGCTAACGGCAAGGCCAGCAGTTCAAAATCGCCAGCCGCTCCTCGGGAGAAAGGTGGGACTTTCTCTCAGCCCATAAAGTTTCCGTCTCAGAAGCTCAAAGGGGCAACCCTACCCTGTCCTATAAGGTCGCTGTGATTTGGCATCGACTCGATGGCAGTGGGTTTGGTTTGTTGGCGGCACTGTGGGATAAGCAATGGACTGCTGACCACAAGGTCGGCAGTTCAAACCCACCAGCCACCCCGTGGGAGAAAGATGAGGCTGTCTGCTTCCATAGAGACTGACAGCCTCAGAAACGATCCAGGGCTGCCGTGAGTCAGAGTCGACTTGGTGGCAGTGGACTTTGGTTGGGAGTACTCTCTTACAGCCAAAGCCAGAACAAGTGATTTTGAAACTTCTTTCTGAGATCGTTAGACTAAGAATTTAAACACCAGCGTTCCAGCCGGCGCCGCCGCTGCAGTTCCAAAGCACCCCCTGACACACTGTGTAAGGGACTTTCACGGCCGGTGCCTTTGTATTTGCCGTCCAATCCAGATCGGAATGAAAGCTCTACCCGAGGAGTCACGGGCCATCTGATTAACAATGAAGGTTTGTACACAGTGTCCCATGGTTTCATCCCTGGGACACTCAGGAGCCGGGCGCCGCAGATGCAGACCAACTTATCCCTGGACAGGGGGCGGCAGGAAAAGATCAAGTGTAGGAAATGCAACCTCCTCCCACCACCACGCCCCAGGCACTAAGCAGGCCGGAGACGGCTCCTGGACCTTCTGGCTAAGCCCTCTGGAGCCATCTCTGAGCTCGCTTTCCAGGAAGCATCCCTTTGATCTTTGAAAGAGAAACTTCTGTACCTTGCGTGTCTTGGCAGCACTTTCCGTGGGCCAAAGGCGCCCTGGTGGCACGGTGGGTTAGCACTGGGTTGCTTCCCCAAGGCTGGCAATTCACCCCCCAGCTGCTGGTGGGGGGGGGCACCCTCCCCAGGGCACTGAGTTTGGCTTGTTGGTGGGGGACTTTTCCTGTACCAGAACAATCGTCATCCTTCATAATATTTACTATCAGTCATCATCTTAGCATAATATGTGACATGGTAAATTGCTTAAATATAGTTTTTCTTACCCTCTCTCAATCCAAAAACCTCTCAGGGCCATCAAATCCACTCTAACTCACAGCGGCCCTACAGGACAGAGTAGACCTGCCCCTGCGGGATTCAGAGACTGTAACTCTTTACCCCCCTGCATATTCATGGTGACGCTATAGGGCAGGTAGAACTGCCCCATGAGTTTCTTGGTTATGGGAGTAGAAAGCCCCATCTTCCCTCCGTGGAGCGGCTGGTGTTTCGAACTATTATTCCTGCAGTTCACAGCCCAGTGCATAACCACGATGCCACCAGAGCTCCCTGGTACAGAGTGTTCATCTGAATACTATCAACACGATTGCTTGGTAAAATCTTTCTAATTTCAGTGACAACATTACTAGTCAGTAAGCGGAAGCCTCTTTTGAAATGTCTTCGTTTCCTTTCATTACACCATCTTTCTCAAATAAAAAAAAAAGGTTGGTATAGATTCACAGATGAGAACCGCCATGATGCTGTAGCCCACGTGGTTGGCAGCGTCGTGGTGATTGGGTAATGACAGCTCTGGCCTCAGTGCCGGGGAAAGCTCAGCAAGACTGAGTTTTAGGTTCAGAAAGTAATTGGCACAGAGTTTTAGCCTTGCAGGTACATTGATACATGTAAAACCGATGACAATGCTACTGACCTACACCCACAGCCATCTGGGTGATTCCGGCTCACAGTGACCCTCCAGGGTGGGATAGAACGGCCCTGGTGGGTTTCTGAAGCTGTAAATCTTACAGGAACAGAAAGCCCCATCTTTTCCCCATGGAGCCCCTGGTGGGTTTGAACCACCAACCTTGTGGTCAGCAGCCTAACCCATAACTCACTATGCCACTAGAGCTTCTCAGAACCATTGCAGGGGATTTTAATGGGAAAGAGTACATTCCTGCTGAAACAGTGCACAAAAACTTCATAGTCTGTCATTTTGCTGTTACCCCCCCTCTGGTAATGCCACCCAGGACACTCCACACTGTCCTACACTCCCTACCGATGCACGGACCAACAAGACAGACCTCCCCGCTTCTCAGGGTGGTGCAGAGGTCCAACGCTTGGCTGCTGACCCACAGGTCAGTGGCTTGAACCCACCAACCACTCTGCACAAGAGAGAGGAGGCTGTCTCTCCACTCCCGTCAACGGGAACAGGTGGGACAGCAAACGGGGCTGGTCTACTCTGTCCTAGAGGGTCGCTATGAGTCGGATCACTCCATGGCCATGGTTGTAATTTTAATGGCAGGATCCCCTGGTCAGCAGCTTGTGGGGACCATCTCCCGACGGCCACAGACAACAATGACCACTACATAGTCCGAGCCCACAAAATCACCAGCGGGGTCTACAAAGCGCGCCCCTCCCCACCTTCCCTAATGACACTGGCCCTTTCCTTAGTCAACTCATTGCCACCCAGGTCTATCCCGACTCACAGCAACCCGGTGGACAGGGCACAACTGCCCCGGTGGGTTTCTGAGGTGGCCAGTCTTTACGGAGGAGGACAGCATTCTTGGTAAAGTGGAGGGGCAGCGAGCAAGAGGAAGGCTCTCAAGTCGATGGATTGACACTGTGGCGGCAACAGTGGGCTCAGGTATAGGAAGGATTCGTTGTGAGGGTGGTGCAGGACTGGGTAGGGTTTCCGTCTGTTGTGCATA